TATTTAACTTGCTTTATGTCATGTCCTCAAATCTTGCAACTCAAGTTTCGTCCACTAATGAGTAAGATAGAATGTGAAAACTTCGAGGAGATACCTAAGTACAATGACAATACATTTTAACAATGTTTTAGGGGTGGTCCCATCCCATCCTTCCAACTAACACACTTGCTAAATTTTACATTTGGTTATGTTTATTATATGCTGAAATGGAGGTTGAGGTCACATCCCCACCTAATCTCAAAAACATGACTAATAAGTTTTTTTTCAAATATATTAAAATTATATTATAAATAGTTTGAAAAAATTTTTGAATAAATTGCTAAAAGACAAGAGATATTAAGAGTTCACATTTAAAATATTGTTGCAATAAATGGAGTCTTAGATGATAAAGTCAAGTCAGTCATTGTAGTTAATTTAATGACAAACAATATACTTTTTTTTAGTGATGCCACGAATAGTGATTTTGCCGAATACCGAATACCGAACATTCGGCTACGCTCTTGGCCGAAGCGCCGAATGTTCGGCAAAATATGTGTACATTTTGCGAGTGATATGTTATGACCTGATACATTGCGGTGGGTGCGGTAGCGACACTGCGGGCACATTTGTTTTATTTGCGAGTAGATCATGTCACAACATGCATTATTTGTTCATTGTTACATCAAATTTCGTTACTAATTATTACTAAAAAATATCACTGTATCACTTTATATGAAAACTGTTCGCCTAGATCGGACGGCAGACCTTTACAAGTGGTGGTCAGCAAACGCAAAACAGTATCCAAGCCTGACAGAATTCGCTAAGATTTATCTATTGTCTCTCGGCAGTAGTGTATATAGTGAGAGGCTATTTTCAGAAGCAGGTATAGTTTATGAGGAAAAGCGCAATCGTTTGCTATCAACAAATGCTGAAAAATTTGTTTTCATTCATTACAACTTACCACTGATAGATTTTAAGTATTAAATGTAATAATTTATGATTAAAATAAATACGTTTTTGAGTAATGTGTGCGGTTTTTTTTTTTTCATGATTTGGTATTCGGTATTCGGCCGAATGTTGCATACTATTCGGCCGAATACCGAATATTAAAAAAAGTAGCCGAATAGGCCAAATACCGAATAGTAGCCGAATATTCGTGGCATCTCTACTTTTTTCTTTTTTTTTTTGACATATTTAAACAGCAAGGACAAGTACTTTTTCCCCTTACTTGGCAATCTTGGCAATTTCTTCTTAGTCTTTCACACCATCTGCCAAAATCTCCCCTTGTTTACTTTCCATCCTATCTTTCCTATATTCCATTGGCATTTCTTTTAAGTTTGTTTTTGCTTATCATTGCCAGGTACTACATGAGCATAAAATCTGGGACAAAATGAGTTATTTCATAAAGATACTGGGAATACTGAGATGCTTTAATTCCAGGACATGCAATAGATATATATTTTCACTCTGCCAGTGACAGAAATACATTTAAAACGTGGAAAAAAGAAAAGATACTTCATTGTAGGAACAATTTTTAGAATAAAATTCTCTTGTTGCTAGATGTCAGTCAGAAAAAATCTAGGACAGTCTAGAAAACTGGACATCTGGCAACGCTACTCCTGTCCAAAGATGATCTAGCCAGACCTAGATGTTAACTAGATTAAAAACTTAGAAATTTTCCAACTCATTGTTAAAATGTATTTAATAGATTATTATTGTAAAATGACACTAATTATTAATTAAATACATACTATAAAATTTGTATACTAATATAATTTGTAAATTTGTAAAAATAACAGTTGAATCATTAATTCTGCAAAAATTTTAAGAAAAAACATTGTATTGGAAAATATTTTAGTAGCAGTTCAGATGATTATCTAAAATGTTTTTATATGGTTTATACACAGATTTTCTGATGGATATAAAAAGATTTTGTTATCTATTTTAAATTTAAAATATTAAAACAAAATATGATCAAACTTCTAATTTTTTATAAACAAATCTGAAGTTTAAGGTCAGCAACTAAACTTACTTTCAATGTGTATTTTTTTTTTTTCTGTTGTCTACAGCTATTTATACTCAATCATTTAAATTAGTTTTGGAGAAATCTAAATTTATTACAAATCTTATAAAATCTTTTTTATAATTGAAATTTATGGAAAATAATTATTCACTTTTTTAGATTCCAAAAAATTAGTAAAAATATTTTGGAAAATATTCTTAGTTGTTGAGATAAAACATAAAGTTAGCATTAAGATCTAAATCTTACAACAACAACAAANTATATATATATATACCAGGGCAAAATGAAACTCTGTGCTAACAGTTTAGGTATTAATTCTAGAATTAAAAATAAGCTTAAAAACTTTTTGTAAATATTTTTTCATATAGTATTACACCTAAATCTCCAATTATTCCTGTTTTAATAGCATCCTATAAATGGCAATAGAGACATTCCAAGAATGCAATTATTCCAATATATTGACAGGCTATTATTTCCCAACTAACACTATCATTTTATATGAAATTATAAATCTTGCAAATAAAACACCTTTTTTGGTAAGATAATTATCAATCTCATTTCCATTCATGTCTGATCACATTTATTTCTCTATTTGTCTTTTGGTAAATAAAATGATGATGATATAGATACACAAATTTACTTGATGAGGACTAAGTTTTTAGACTCAACTCATGTCTGAAAGTTGACCGTCATACCTAATGATGGTCCTTAACTATGTCAAAAACATCAACATTATTTAAACTTCACCCATTGTTAAGATGCATTTGATTTAATTCGGCTGAATATCCACAGTGGCTAGTCCATCCTATTGATCATATTCTTTTGTACTACAGCAGAATCCCAGAAACTCAACGCTTGATAACTCAACATTCCATAAAACTTTTCATGTCATTCTAAATAAATAAATAATCTAATACCTACTTCTATAACTTTATACTACAGTCAAATAAATTATGACTCTTTGCTGGTGACACTTGATAATAACATCAATTCTGCATGTTACCAAACGATGTAACCCCTTCTAAAGTGCCACTGTAAAATGCCATGATGCAAATGTCACTAAATCAAAAGTAACACTGAAGAGCCAATATTTTTTAAAATTTAACTACAAATAGAAATAGTCACTATTGGTATGTATTTAATACATATGTGAATTTGCACATAGAAAATTTCCTAAAATGATATTATATTTAGATTAGCATCATTGCTATGATGTAAAACTCTTCACTTTTGGTAACTTGTCACCGTCTCAGTCCACATTAAGTTTTTTCTTGCAAGACTACTGTATCTCAAATATTCTAATCAATAATGTTATCAGCATAACGTTTATCTTGTCAAAAGTTAAAAAAAAATCTGTTTTTAAACATTTCGTTGTTTTGATTAAATAATGTACAGTACATTTGTCTCCTGTTCATGACAAATATTGCCTCGGCTTCTGTGAATGAAAATATTAAAATTTAAATGTAAATAAACAATCAAATACCTGGTTATCATGTGTTCATTTCTGAATGAAAATAATCAGAAATGAATGCATTTTTAATAACTGAAATTTATATAAAATTATTATTCTTCCTTATTAAAAGTAATTTGGAATTTGTTATATTTGATTATGACTTAGTAACAATTTATTAGATAGAACAGACCAGATTTTCTAGTTTATATCTATGAGAGAGATTACTATAAATTAGCATTAGCCAGATATGTTCAGATATACACAATCCCATCAAAAGAATTGGTCAAAAATGAAAATGCTAAAATATTTTAATCAAGATTAAATATTTTTCAAGACAATAAATATACTACCCCTGATGCTTGCTGAGAAAATTGTTTATTCAATAATTTACAAATGTTTCAAGGAAGAATGAAGATTATTTATTTTCTTCCATATTTTAAATCGTGAAATGTTTCAACCTATTTTCATAGTCCATCTTCAGGCTTGGAATTCAAAATATAAAGCATTTTAAAATAGCATATTCAAATTATGGAATTTTTGGATTTTATATTTAAACTTAATATTTTAAAATATAAACTTGGACATAGTTTATTCATTCAAGAGATGAACTAAATAATGAGCAAAAAGAAGAACAAATAAAATTTAACAAATGAAGTTCATTTATAGTAGAATACTGAAGTCAAAGGTTTAAATATCCTTTCTTTTCTATGGTGAATTTCTGGGCTTAAGATAATTCTTTTACATTTCTGGCATTCAGGAAATAGTCTTTAATTTTACTTTAGTATATATACTATCTCTTCCATGTTCATGTTCATATATAGAGTTGGAGATTGTACTGTCTTAACAGTGTCCACTTTATCCCATCTCACATCTGAGACTTCCGTGTAGCCAGAATTGTGTTACATTGCCTTTTTTTAACATAATAGTATGGCTCAAAGAAAACAAATATTATATTTCTTTTCATAACACCAATATAATATATCTTCACTCCCAAAGTTGGTTTTCACAGGTTATTTGTATTCCTCTGTATGAACATAAATATAATGAACCAAAACAAAATAAAATTGTTTATTCAGCTAATATACAAAGTCATTTTCTCAGCATCAGCGGGTATACTATAGTTTTTGTCTTATCATCAGATCACAATAGTTCTAATTCAAACTTCTAAATGTTTGTCTTGTACCAAACTATCCAAATAGAAAAGCATAATTAAAACAGATCCATTAAATAAACAATAAATTAACATGGAAGCAAAAGAACTAGATATTTGTATTTCTAGTTTGGCCAAATCTTAGGTAATAATCTCTTAATGCTTGTTACATTAACTTCTCATTCTTATTCTACTGTATTACTTGAATGTCATGTTAACAGGTTCTCATTTAACTGAACTTATAAAGAAATTTTTGCAAATTTTCAATATCTATATTAATTGTTAAAACATATGCAAAAAATTTTCTCATTACATTGAATTTAAATTATAAAAATAATATAATTTTCTCATTTAGATATTAATTAAATAAAATTTCACTTTATTTATTTTTATAGAAAACAAGCTGAAATTATCAATGGAAACAAGATAGCATCAGAAATTAAAGAAGAAATCAAACAAGACATTGAAAAGTTAATAGCCTCAGGTCGGCGACGACCTCATTTAAGTGTTATTTTGGTAGGAGACAACCCCGCCAGCGGAATTTATGTGACAAATAAGTTAAAAGCTGCGCAAAAAACAGGTTGGTGTCTCAACCAATCTCCGGTACACCTTGAACCAGATCTCGTTATTAGTGTCATTATCAAAATCAAATTTGAATATAATTTTAAAACATTTTGAACTCTATGAAAAATAACTAGACTTTTTTAAAATTTTAATTAAGGAATTAAATATAAGATGACTTATTTCTAAATTTTTTAAAAATTTCTATTATTATTATAATATATTTTTATCTTATGAAATATAAAGAGTTATCTTGAAACAACTAATCAATTAAAATTTTTCATTATATAAAGTATTAAAATAAATTTAAAATGTTTAAATGTATTTTGAAGTTTTTTTTTTTAATTTTAATCAAATTTTATTAATGTAATAGTTCTTTTACATCCTTAAAATATTCATCTAAAATTCATATTAATGATTAAACTTTTTTCCCTCCCCAAGAAGACAAATCTATTAATTTTAGACTGGAAAACTGGCTCTATTTTGCACAATAGATTGTATGTTTACAAAAAAATATAATTTTGTTAGTTATAAATTGTCTTATATTATTATACTTTCTACAAAGCTAATGGATATGACAACCTAATATTAAATTAATGTTTAAAAAGTTGTTTAAATATATCATATTTATTATATTTTTTATAATCTATTAGGTATCTCTAGTGAAACTATCACACGGCCTTCTTCAATTAGCCAACAACAACTTATTGATATTATTCATCAGCTGAATGACAATCCTGATGTAGATGGAATTCTAGTACAACTTCCTCTCCCAAACCACATGAATGAGAGACTTGTGTGCAATTCAATAACACCAAGTAAAGATGTTGATGGCTTTCATGTTGTAAATGTCGGAAGATTTTGTCTAGATATGAATGCTTTAATACCATGTACACCTCTAGGAGTGATGGAGTTATTACGCAGAACAGGTATGGTTTTTTTTTTAATATTTAAAGTGCTAAAAAATACTTTTTGTTTTATGGAATATACAGTTTTTATTTTGAATATTTGCTTTTTTGTAAGCAAAACCAAATTTAGTGCTTGAGAAATCTATCTTCAAGTTTTAATGCAAAATTGCTACTGAATTATCTTAAAATTTTAAGTGAATTAATAATAATCTAAGCTTTATTTTTCAGTTAGAACTTTAAAAAAAGAAGATTATGCAATAAAAATAATTAAGTCATATATGAGTGCCTTGTATGGATGTTTTACTGGACGAGGGCGCTGAATGTGTCCCCAGTTGGCACCATAGTAACCGACGATGGTTATAACTTAAGGTTAAGTCATATATGTTTAGAATGTTGCATGTCATTTTCAAATACTTTTAATTTATTATACATTTAACAGTAAAATAATGATAACAACAATAAAACCCAGATAATTATCAAAAATTATAAACAGATGCCAAAAATTTCTACATTAGAANATTTATACTATTCAAAATGATTATCCTTCTATCTACAGTATTATCCTTTTTCTTCTGGTGACAACTTCCGAAATTAATTTGACTGGGAGAAATTTATTTTAACTTAAACGCTTACAAAAATAAGAAAATCTATTTTAAAATACCATTTTAAATAGGAAAAGAAGTGTTTTAAATATTTGAAAAATATGCCTCTATATGCAAACGTACAGTCAGACATACGAACACACATCAATACCCTAATTTATTTATAGTTAGAGACAGGCTTCCTTAAATAAATATATAAATTATAAGTAAACAAAACAAAATTAAGAATTCAAAATGTATTTTGAAGATTAACAATCACACAAATATACTACGATATTATATTAATTTATTTATAATTGAATTAATTATATTATGGACATTAATATATACTAATCTTAAGGTGTTCGGAATTAAAAACACATAAAGATAATAATAATCTGCTCTCTTCCCTAATAATAATGTAAAATAAGAAAGTTTAGTAATAAAGCGTAGTTTCTACTTAATACATCATCATCACTAAGTGTACCTATCATCTATAAAATCAGTAAAAACACTTCTACTTATATATAAATATCCTAAGCGCAGAATAATTTTGATTTTAGATACTAGAATCTATTTACAATGTGTGAATATATGTTCAAGAATCATCATAGATGATGATGTTTACAGATTATGGTTTAAAAAAACTTACTCCCAATCTTTATCAATGTATAAATGATTGTGTTGCGGTCATACCAGCATTTATTATAGATTTTTTTAATCATATTCCATAAATATCATCATACATGATTCCTCTTGAATTAATATTTGAACTTATTTTCATGTGTTCATTCGTCTATGGGTGTTTTTAACTAGATTAGCTGTTTGTATAAACTATATTTAGTATAAATGGATATATTTCGATGATATCTGTTGATAAAATGATACTTAAACTCACTTGATACATGCAGAATGACTCTACAGTCCTTATGTAGTATGAATCTTTAATAACTTCACTTCTATGTGAGTTATAAACAATCTGTAAAATGAAATAAAGAAACAATTTATTCAAGATTTAAAATATTTAATTATAATAATTTCAATACATGCAATATCATTTTTGTTTTATTAACAACAACAACTCTTTCGTGGTCACTGCCTGGTCGTGGTGGGAGAGCCCAGTAATTTTACTGATCCATAGGGCAATTCAGGCTGGAGCACAAGCTCCTGGTAGGGATACTCATGCCACCAGTAACATCTACAAGGAGAATTGAAGCTGAGTGACCACACCCACATTCTGTGGAGATATTTACTGTGGTAGTAACCATGTGTAAGTGTGATCCCAGCTCAGATGTTGCCTGGGTTAACAAGTTCCACATTTGTGGGTTAGGCAGAGACTCAGATTTGAAAAATAGGCCACAGTCTCCCTTGGTTACTGCTGGTGAAAGCAGTGCCAGCCCAAGCATGGCTACTGCAATGCCCTCAACAGAAGTGAGGAACCAACCTAGTCTTGGTGTTTCTATGGTAATGCATCCACAGACCACAATGGCTAGAAAACCATGCCAACAGATGAAATGGACATCAGAAATGAACAAGTTTATCATCCATACTTACTACACAATTACAAGATTTGAAAACAAACATGACAGTGTACAGACAAAAACTACATCATAAATTCACACAACATTATCTTCACCAAACAAAGTGTTTTGATCAAAAAAGAACAATTATACACAACAACCTTATCCCACAAACAACACTTGATCTGCAACCTGTTGTTTGGTAAGTTCAAATACATCAACAGACAGAAACATGTAACATTAATGAAGATCATGTGACCTGTCAGGATAATTCAGCAACAAGCACTGATTATAACACACAAAACAACTACCACAATGATACTACATACACTTCCTCATCCACCACTTATAACATAGACATAGATTTAGTTAATATGCTTTCACTTCATATTTCATATTTCAGGAAACACTCACTAAATATGCAGGTACAGATTCCACACAAAGACCACAAATACCAAAAATCAACACGTCAAAGGTAGTAGAAAAAACACTAAATTGTGTAAACATTCACTTACTACCACACTACATCTATTTAATTTCTACACATTCATACATTAGTTTATGCTTGGGTTCATTGAACCAAGCATAAACTGAAAATACAATCACAGATAGATACACACAAAACACAATTCTATCATAAACCTGTTTGGCAGAGAAGAATAGAACCACAAATAAATATTATTAGACAGTAATTAGGCAGGCTGACACAATACACTAAAAACAGCATAACATCCAAATTAGAGAAACAATTCAAAAACATTTTCAAGAAAATCAACACACACACAAAACATGAACATCACAACACACACATTACAGAATACATCAATACACTAAAACAAAAACTCGCAGCCAAAGCACGTAGACTCAAACGATACAAAACATGTACACTACGAAAACAACAAAATAAATTATTTACAAACAATGAAAAACTTTTCTACAGACAAATCAGTACCAAAACAAACACTGATATACAGCACAGTGACACACCAGCAGAAGAAGAACTCGCAACATATTTGTCTTCTCTTTGGTCCAGTGCTGTCACACACAATGTTGATGCAGGCTGGATTGAGGAGGAGAACAAAAACTTGTACAACATACCAACTATGCCCTGTGCTGAAATAAACGTACCTGACATCCGATATGCTGTTAACAGAACACACAACTGGAAGATATTTGGTGTAGACAATATTCACAATTTCTAGTACAAAAAGTTTACATCACTGCACTAGGAACTAGCTAAACCCCTAACACACACCATTATTAATTCACAAGACATGCCAAAATTTCTTACTGAGGGCATCACCTACATGAAACCTAAAACAACAATACCATAAACCCCACACAATACAGACCAATTGCATGTCTTCCAACACTATAAATTATAGACATCCTGTATCGCAAACAAAATATACAAATATGTTGAAGAACACGACATTCTTACGGAACAACAAAACAGTTGCTATAGAAATTGCAGGGAATGCAAAGAACAGTTACTTATAGTTTCAGTAATTCTATGTCAAGCACACAAACAACACAGAAACATACACATATATATAGACTACAGAAAAGCATTCAACAGTGTTCCACACAGTTGGCTGCTACATGTTATACACATGTACAAAATACATCCATCACTCATTCCATTCTTCCAAAAACTATGCAGCAACATTGGAGAACAACACTACATCTCAGGATTCATGACACTTTCACACAAACAAATCAAATATTCATTAGACAAGGAATTTTTCAAGGAGATTCCTTGAATCCTCTCTGGTTCTGTTTAGCCCTTAACCCATTATTTAACATGTTAAACAACATGCAACATGGTTAAAATATCAGACATGAAAAAACAACACAGTTTACGCTGTCACATCTCATGTACATGAACGTAAAACTTTATGCATCCACACAAAAACAACTTTGTCAACTCTTACAGATCACACATTCATACTCCAAGAACATACAAATGGAGTTTGGCCTAGACAAATGCAAAACACTTCACACAGAAAGAAGTGTCCCGAAGAAAGGAGATTTTGCACTTGGAAATGGAGATATGATTGAATCCATGGAAGAGGGCAAGTTCTCCAAGTATTTAAGATTCCAGCAAGCCAAACTAACAGAACATACACAAATAAAACAAAGGTTAATTAAAGAATACCAAAGTAGGTTAAATGCTATTTTCAGAACACAGTTAAAGCAATAAGCACACATTGTCTCAGTACTCACATACTCTTTTGGCATTATACATTGGATTGACATAAACCTTGAACAATTTCAAAGGAAAACAAGAACAACACTTACTAAGCATAAACATCGTCATCCTAAATCAGCCATAGAAAGATAAACCCTTCCATGTAAAGATGGTGGATATGGCCTGATGGCCTGATTGACATAGTAAACCTTCACGACAAACAAATACAGACACTGTGAGAGTTTTTCTACAAAAAAAACAAGAAACATCACAGTTATATAAAGCAATAACTCAAGCAGGCTCAAATAACACACCATTAAACTTACACTCACATCATATGGACATAACAAAACATATAAAAAACATAGACCCCATTAGGCAATCATGGGTTCAAAAGGCACTCCACGTCAGACATCCCACGACCTGGCCCAGGATTTTGTTGACATAACTGTGTCAAACAGTTGGTTAGTTGGGAGATGCCTCTTTGGGGAGGCGGAAGGATTCATTATTGACATACAGGATCAGATCATAAATACTAAAAACTACAGAATACACATCCTCAAAGATACAACACTCCCAAATGACACATGCAGAGAATGTCACATCATGCCAGAAACTATACAACACATCACTTTCAGTTGCAAGCTCTTGACACAAACAGATTATTTATATAGACATAATCAAGAAGCTAATATAGTATACCAAAAGCTTGCAAAGATACACAAATTATTAGACATTCAGGAACCATACTATAAATACATTCTACAGACAGTATTGGAAAACAACATGCACAAACTGTACTATAACAGAGCCATAATTATAGATAAAACAATTTACCACAACAGACCATCATTGACAAACACAATAAAATCACATACATTATAGACATATCTATTTCAAACACTAACAATGTACAAAACACATGTACTGAAAAAATCAGCAAGTACACAGAACTCGCCCAGGAAATAAGGCATCTGTGGAGGATTGATATGTTGCTTATTGTACCTGTTGTTCTCTCCTCTACAAGTGTCATACCACACATTTCTGGGATGCATCTCCTTCAGCAGATTTCTCATATGTTGTGTTGCTGTAACCAACTAAACCAAACTAATTCTAATGATCAATTATTTATTGTGACATTGCCACAATGTTCTCAATTCTTTTAGTGGTTTTACCCCTGTACATCATACTTTTACTGTTAGATAACCAAGCACGACTCTATTGTTATCTAATTCCATTTAGGGGAAATTTTGAATTAAAGTAATGTAACTTCCAGTCCAAACCAGAAGTTTGTATGTAGTTAATCTGGACTTCCTGCTCCTAAGCTTTCCATATCTGGTCTTGACTTTCATCTATCTAACTCCTTTCTCAAGGTTAAGGAAGGACAGACAGACAACAGACAGGTGAATTATAGTGGAAATTTATAAGTCTACAATTTTTTCAAATAGTATTCATAAAATGGTTTAAAGTGTTGATTTATAATTAATCAACACATTAAACTATTTTATATTTACTTTTATACAGTTTATGAATACAAAGTTGATTCATCTAGTGGTCACTATATAATTTTAAAAAAGTCAAAGATCTGTAATAACTGAAGAGGGTCAGAAGGCCTGAAGTACATTTCTTTGCATAATAAAGTTGCAATAGTCAGTTACTAGTGTGTTCCCTGTGTGATTTAGTTCTCTTCAGCAAAATTTATGCTTATCATTAAAGGGGTGTATATGTTGCTAGATATTTTCTAAACTTTTGGTTATACATATTCAGTTAAGTCTTATTTCATTTCATTACAGGAATCAAAACATTTGGAAAAAATGCTGTTGTCTGTGGTCGATCAAAAAATGTGGGAATGCCAATGGCCATGCTACTTCATGCAGATGGAATAGGAGAAACTCAAGCTGGTAAAAATGATTAAAAAATAATTTAACTATTTTAATTATTCAAAATAAACATATTGCCTTTTATATATCAGACAATATTTTTCCTAAACAAATGTTTTTTGCTTGTTTAAAATTTTTTTTTCAAATATACAGTGGAACTGTGCTTAACATAAAAGAGTATTTCACATAACAAGCAAAACAAATTGTAAAAAAAATTACTCGCTTAACAAGCGACGTTTTGCATAACGAGTGATGAGGGGAGAAGTCCCGGGTGTACGCATGTTCCATCAGTCTCTGTTTAGCACTCGTTCCACTATCATCCTAGTATCCCTTGTGATCACATTTTTCCAAACTTGTGTTCACACATATGTATAAACATCAACAACCATAGCCGTTATATAATAAAGATGCCAAATGATATGCCAAATTCTTTGGCTAGGTAAAGGCTATAATTAAATATTAGAAATTAATTAATTTGACTAGAGGTAGGCAGTTATGCTGCCATCTCATATTAAATTTAATGACCAATTCCAAATTAAACTTTAGAAATGTCTAAATTAAAAATTATTTATAATTATTAAATTTGATACGAGATAGAAGCATAACTGCCTACCTCTAGTCAAATTAATTAATTTCTAATATTTAATTATAGCCTTTACCTAGCCAAAGAATTTGGCATTTGGTGTCTTTATCACATATGTTATCTGTGATTTTGTTTTTGTTTTCTGCCAATTGAATTTGCATTCCAGGTTGGTTCATTCTGTGCTAGAAGAAAAGATGATGATGATGATTCACACTCCTTAACAATGTATATTATATAATTTTTGTTGAATAAACATTATACAAAAAATATTTGAGTATTTTTTTTTTTTCCAGCATGGAATACATTATCATATTTTACATTAATTTATATGGGAAAAATTGTTTCGCTTAACGAGTGTTTTGCATTACGAGTAAGATTCTGGAACAAATTATACTCGTTAAGCGAGGTTCCACTGTAAAATGAAAAAACAATTTGCTATAATAAGAGTATTTATAACCAAATTTTTAACAAGATTTAAAATTTTCTTATTGAAAAATAAACACAAATAATAGTAAACTGTTATATCACGTTAGTAAATATATCTGATTATCCAATAAGATGGATTTGTAATTTATCTTTTGAATTACTTAATATGATTGTGCAATATTTCTCAATATTTTCTTTTAAGTTGTAATATCGTGACCATGTGTTTTTAAGGAACTCTTCTGAACTAAGAACGAGGATTGTTATTTAATTTACAAGTTGGTGCTTAAAAATTCTATAATAGCTGAGCAAGAAGAGATATAAAGATTTTGTTTTTGACAATTTAGCATTTATGTCAATTATTTTTTGTTATATTGACATTATTTTTCTTAAACTTGTTTTTCTAAATTAAACAAAAAAATATAAATTTAGAACTAATGGATGTAGGTAATTCAGATAACTAATTTATAATTATCTAAAAGATAAAATATCCTAATTCTATATTATTGAATTCTTACAATTTGTAATATAGAGTACCTCAAAATTGAAAGAAAATTAGTTTGAAACATTTAGTTAATATGCATAAATAAATTTTTGGCATCTTTTAATAAGTCATTATAAATATAAAAATTGTTATAAAAGTATAAATATTTATACCTCAGGTTTGAAAAAATTTGAATTTTGGTTTGTAAAGAAAATAACAAATTGAATAATAATAGTATATTTAGAATAAGATTAGATTCCAACTGCAGTATTTCATAACTGATATGACATTAATATTTATCCATTTCTTTAAATTATCAGTAAAATTCTAATGATGTAAATAAATTTTACTCTATTCAATGAGAATAAATTATTCTTCAGCATTTATGGACCAATATTTCTGAATTAATCTTATAAAAGAAATTAATTTTCTCAAGCAAATATGTTAGGGATGGTAATGGCTGTGTACAGAAAGTAAAAGAGTAAACTGTATTAAAAATTTAGTTTTGTATTTTAGAATTAATAATTAAATTTTTTACCTTGGAAATATTTATAAAAATCATCTAATGCATTGCTTTATGATTTCAAATGAATTTTTCTAATAAATTATAGAAAAATAAATTTTCTGTAAAAGATTATTTAAAATAAAATTTTGAATTTTTTTATTTTGAAATTTATTTACTCATATTTAATTATTTTACTTAATTTATTATTAAATTTATGTTTCTATAATCTAGTTTTTGGGATGTTTAAATTAGTGTTATATAGTTTTTAGTTAATAGTATTGTTCATGTAATGACAAACATTATAGTATTTTATATTTTGTACTTAAATCACTTAAAAAATCAACTGATCTTTAAATAAAACTTACTTACATTTAGCTACATTTTGATTTTATCGCAACAGCAGAATATTTTGCCAAACATCTCTAAAAATAAAAAAAATATCCATTTTTACAACAGTTACTTAGCACAAAATAAATTTCAGTAGCTGTGTATGTAATGAAATATTAAAATGTTATCATTAAACTGGATAAACTTTTTATCACATGTTGATAAAAATTATCAATGTAGCTGCCATCACAAACATGTAGTGGTATTAATTTAGATTAAAACATATCAAGAAATAAATATTTTTCATATTAGTTGCTTTTAGCAATAATATAATTAACTGAAATATAATAAATAATGAAGATTATTTTTAATATTGATTTTTTAATTATATTTTACTTGTTATCTCAAAGTTTTAAACTGATTAATATACAAAAATATATATATTTATACATTTCATATTTTAAACAATTTTAAATCTTAGGAGATGCTACAACAACTATATGTCACAGACACACTCCAGCTGAACAATTGGTACACTTTACGAAGTTGGCAGACATTCTGGTAGTGGCAACTGGAATACCGCATTTAATTACTGCCGACATGGTTAAAGAAGGAGCCTGCGTCATAGATATCGGAATTACGAGGATCAAAGATCAAGTTACTGGTAAATCGAAATTGGTTGGAGATGTCGATTTTGATGGTATGTTAATATTTCTTGCGTACGGTTTATTTTTTTAACAAAATAACAAAAGTGTCGATTGAACAAAATTAAACTTTTTTTTCTTTTAGGTGTTGTACAAAAAGCCAGTTATATCACCCCAGTGCCTGGAGGAGTTGGACCCATGACTGTTGCCATGTTAATGAAGAACACTTATCTTGCAGCTATAAATCGTATTAAATATTAATGTTAAATAATTAGTGAAGGGTAGCTTTTGAAATAATTTATTTGTTGTTTATTGTATAAAGAAATTTTAACTAATTTAATTGTTTTTAATTTATCTCTCTCTCTTTTTCCTTCTAAGGAATCGAGTGTAATATTTCATAAAAACAAAAAATAAAGTAAGCAGAATGTCGGGCGCCATAGGTTAAAGGTTAAATTGCCCATTAGATATCATTTAATATATATATATATATTATTTCATTTAATGACTGTCGATTTGGTTTATTTTCACTGCCTTAATTAGTGAATCGCTGTTAGTTAATGAACGTCTTCGGTATTTTAATTAATTTGATTTTAAGTGGCATGAGGTATAATTTTGCATAAATTTAATTANTAAGTGTAATATCTCTTGATGCAGCTGCTGCATCAAGAGATATTACACTTACTCCCAATGGAAATGTAGAAGCAAAAAAAAATACATGCACCTTTACAGAAATATCCATTTTGACTCTTACAGGCATGTCTAATCCAGTCACTCCTATAATGGATTAGACACTCCTGTAATGGTCAAAATTGCAGCCAGTTTCAATGTGTTGAAGCAGCATATGTTAACTACCATATTTTAAGGCATGTAAGATGAAACATTTGTCTCAAAAATTGCAACTTTACATATGAAACACAGCAATCTCTCATAGGCCAATGAATTACCCAAACAACCTTCAGAAGACTACAGATAAAAAGGTTCCAAGTCTCTGGCTGGGTAGAGGTTAAGTGTGCATGCCAAAATTGCCAAATACATGATGCAAAGTTTTCTCACATACCACCAAAATTTTTGGGAGAATATTACATATGGGACTTAAGTATTGGGAGAACCTTTTCAAATAATCAAAAATTCACATTCATAAAATGTATAGTGATTTTATTTACTATCATCTTGTTGCCTGGCAATTGATCCAACAATTGAACAGGATAAAACTTACAGTTGATAGTATTTATTTCTTTATTGAGCTATATTGAGCTTCTATATTGAGTAGATGCTGTTTTTAGCATCTCTCTACTCAATAAAATTATATTTTATTAAGTTAAACTACCTGAGTTGTCAAAATTAAACTTCTTCAACCCAGAAGGCTCCAAAGAGTGTTCTACTGCTTGAAATGAAACAACATTTGGACATGTACAGTACTTCAGATAATGTGCTCACCATTTATTAAATAAAAATTTTTTGATAAAAAGTCACCGATAGGTGATGTTAGAGTTATGTAACTGGGATCCAAACCTGTTCCATTGTTGGAGAATGGTACAGTCGACCCCCCCATAACACTGTTGATAATTCCATTTTATATGAACTCCATGTTGTACAAGTCACTTAGATTTTATAAATACGTGAGCCAGGCTGTGTACGGCTCACATATTTGTAAAATCTAAGTGACTCGTACAACATGGAATTCATATAAAATGGAATTATCAACAGTGTTATGGGGGGTTGACTGTATCTTAACATGCTAATGACTTTTTGATTCCAGAGCATCAATAAAGCTTTGAGATACTATATACATGAAGGATGGTGCACCATTCCACATCCCTGTTCAACATATGTTAAGGGAGACTTTCATGAATGAATGGGTGATCAGTCATTATTTCCCAACAGCTTGGCCTCCTTGTTCACCTGATTTTACCTCATGACTTCTGGCTATGGGATTCATTGAAAGACAAGTTCTATCATGAAAGATGTGTATTTGTATCAGATCTAAAGAAAGTGTTCACTGGCATGTTCTTGTGATTAAAGCAGACTCATTATGTTTAGCAATGGAAAACATGATTTTGTGAATGGAGCACATATTGAACATTTGTAGCCATGATTTGCATAGCTCCAGCACCATCTATTAGTGACTTTTTTTGTACAAAATATTTTTATTTAATAAATGGCAAGTGCATCATCTGAAGTACCTGTTGTCCAAATGTTGTTTCATTTCAAGCAGTAGAACACTCTCCAGAGCCCTCTGAGTTGGGAAAGTTTAATTTTGACAACCCTGTATATACTACAACTCAGTGAAGATGTTGGGTATTTATTTTTTAAATGAGCCCTATGTTGTGTGCTGGAAAAGTCATTGACTTGCCACATTTGGCATTTGTGCTAAGGATTGCCCATCCCTGACCTAGCCAATTTTTCAATAAAAATACCATTGTTTAATTAAACATTAACAGTAATTTTTTTTCTATACTTAAACAAGCAGCTTCTGCATATATTCATGCAGAATATTTTAATTGTAAATGACTTCTTTTAAACTTCTTTTAAACTTCTCTATTTCCTTCATAAATGAAAGTGTACAGTACATTGTAAGCTTACTTTTTTATTAAATAATACAGTAAAATTTTGGAAAAGAGTGCCAAAAACATAGGATGGCTTAAACACTACTTTTTCCTAAATATTCCGCGCTGAAATGGAGATATGTCTGATATGCCTAGTTGTCGTATGTTTGCATCTATGATCTAGAACAGTGTTCTCAACTACCAGTATTTTTTTGAACAATTTTTTTGCATTGTAAATTTTGAAAGTAGAGATTTTAGGATGAGACCTTTTTTTATTCAAATGATTAAAAAAATTCAATACTCCCAAGTTAATGAGAAAAAACAGTAATCATATTGGTTATTTTTTTTTATTTGTACTTAGTGCTTTTTAAATAAAGTCAATGCATATTTTTATTTTATTTTTTGATTAAAGAATTGTACATTGTATACATATACATATATATTTATCAAAAGGCAAATATAAAATTTATATATATATTATATTTTATATATACAGGTATCCCTTATACAGGTATACCTCGACTTA